ACAATATAAAAAGGACATTAAGCTATTAAGAGTGGCCAAAGGAAGACCATGAGGATGCTGAAGGGTGTGGAGCGGAAGCCATATGAGAAGCAGCTGAGGTCATGTGGCAGTCACAACTTCCTAATGAGGGGTAGAGGAGGGACAGGTACTGATCTCTTCTCTGCGATAACCAGTGACAGAACTCAAGGAAAAGGCATGAAACTGCATCAGGAGGGATTTATGTTGGATATCAGGAGAAGGTTTTTCACTCAGAAGGCAGTTCAGCACTGGAACAAGCTTCCCCAGGAAAGTCTTACAGCACCAAGCCTGACAGAGTTCAAGAAGTGTTTGGACAAGGCTCTCAGCACATGAGGAGTCTTAATGGGTCCTGTGCAGGAGTTGGACTCGATGATCCTGATGGTTCACTTCCAGCTCCGCATATTCTATGATTCTATGAACTCTGCTGCAGTTGATTTCATTGCCTGCAGTTGTCTGTGTCACAGTGACCCACAGCAGCATGCCACTGATGGTAGTGCTTTTTCACATGCATGTGCTCAGCTAGAAAATCCACCCAGGAGCTTCCTGAGAGCCTGCTGCAATATAACCTGATCTTCTGGAGCCTAGAAATCCCTGTGAACTCCTCGGATTGCTTCTTCCCACTGACAAAGTATTGTTTTGAGATACATCTGGTGTCAGGCGTAGGCATATGGCACCAGTATGGCAATGCTGGCTCCGGGGGTGGTTTCCTGCAGAAGAGGTCTGGCTGAAGGCAGTAGTCACTGCCTATGGAGAGTTATTATTATTTAGCACCCAGGCCTTTGTGAACTTGTTTGACTGGTGGCTGGGCAGAGTGCCATCGGAGCGTATGGACATGAGCAGAGACAGCTGAGTCTCCAGGGCCTTGCACACATCACATGTGGGTACTGAGGTCAGGCTTCTCAGTAGGGAGAAGCTAAATGTCTGTCTGTCTCAAGCACGTGTACCTGTGGTTGACGGGATATGCCATAATTAATCCAAATCTGGGCTGTATTAAGCTTCTAAAATAAAAAACAGCTTTGCCAGCCACTTGAAGAGGGCTGGGGGCCTGTTTGGATCAGTGCTTTAGTGGGGAAGGAGAGAGGGAAGGAGCAGGGAGGCAGAGCAGGACTGATGAACAAAAGGGTATCATGTTGAGCCGTGCTCCACAGTACTCCTCCCCATGGGCTGAGATGACCTGACTCCACACCAAGGCAGGGGGCAAAGGGTGCTGCCTTCCTCTCCACAGCTGCAGCCCTCTCCAAGGCCTGGGCACCACTTCTGTTTGTGAGGCCCAGCCCTCTCTTTGCTGTAACAAATGGACATCTCATGATTTGTTTCTTAATTATGTTTTCAGTGCAGTACTTGCAACAGCTGGGAGCAGAAGCTTTAGCATTTGAGAAGCAGGATTGTCTGTTTGCCCGGCAAAATCCCCAGGTTTAGCAGCCTGAGCTCTCTCTTATGCTTGGGCAATGCTCTGCATGGAACTAACTCAGGTTTCCCTCTCTGGCCCTTGGAGGCAGAGCATGCACAGGGGATCAGGCAGCAGCACCAGTATTGTGGCCGCACTAAGAGTACAACATCTGGGTGGAAGTTCACAAAGCCAGAAGCACCAGAAATACTTTAGTAAGGGCATTGATAAAGGTAAGGAGAGACAGAAAAAGCAAAACCCAGTAGGCTGTATTTGCACAGAGGGAGAAAACACCTGAGCACTAGGCTGAAATAAATACGAAGTGATTCAGTGCACACTGCAATTCAGAGGAATGCAGATGACCAGACACTCCGATTTTGCCTGTCTCTTGTGGGTCCCGACAGTTGCTCAGACTGATGCTTAGTGGCACCCATAAAAAGATAATGCTGAGAATCTCGTGGCCTTAAATCCTGCTTCTCTGCTGTGAACACTAAACTCCCTGTGGAATTCCTTCTGACATGATTCCTTCTATATTTATTTATGTGCTGTTGCCATATACTGTCACAGGTAACTAAGCACCTACAGTATAAAATGTCCCTAACTGAAAAACTGGGGAGCTTTACCATTGCTATTGGAAAGTGCCATGAGATTTCCCCAGAAGGGTGTGGCAGGAGTGCAACCAAGGATATGCTGTTATTTTAAAAACCTGACCATGTGCTGGTTCCTCCCCCTTTGAAGTCGGTGGCAAAGCTATTTCAGAGGAACAAGACTACTTGAACAGGCAAACAAGAGGCAGCCTGGGGGCAGAAGAGGCTTACAGGGAATGGTTTCTGCTGCTGTCCTTGAGCACAGAGCTGTTCAGACAGACTGGAGACCTGTCAGCCACTCTCTCCCATTAAGTCTAAGAAATGAATGCTTTTCAAGTTGTTAAATGAATGGGCTTAATCTTACAGCCCTTACTCATCTGAGTACTGCCATTAATTTTAAGACAATAATCACTGTATTAAGTGCTATGGAATGGAGTCCTTAAATTGTTAAATTCTAATATTTGACAGAATTTTTTATTGGATAGAAAAATAATACTGACATAATTAAAAAGATGTGAACATTTCACCTTTTGAAGACTGCAAGCTGCTTTGGAGGAGATGTAAAACTAGAAGCAGTGCAGAGAACTCAAGTCCGTGTCATGTCTGTAGGTTATTTCTGAACTTTATGAAAAACACACTTTAGCAGTTTATATCCTGACCATTCAACTGTATTCTGGCATTCTAAATGCAAAAACATGCTAACCATGAAAGCAGAACTTTTAAAAATACACTGTCCACTTGGCTTCTTTGCCCTGCTTCAGAGTCTCCCAAGTTTGTTTGGGACAAACTTGGGAACTTTGTTGTGGAATGGCTGTTTGAATTGGGGTTTCTTAAAATACATGTGGAGCCTTGTAGCTGCTGTGGGGTGTACTCAGTGGTGGAGCTGTACTATTTTAAAATCATCTGGCTATTTCCCTTCATGTAAGAATATCTGTCAGCTTAGTTATAAGGAATGAGAGGGGTTGATTAAAACAACTCATGAAGCCATTAAACAAAGAGATAAAATGTAGAACATGTGCTGTAGGGTCGTTTTAATTATAGTGTGGGGGAAATCTGTGGAAACTGGATGGCAGCTGCAGTGTAGCTGAGTCTTAATCCCTCTTAACAGTACCAACATCCTGTTCCTTAGGGGTGGAGTTTCTTTTCTGTAAAGCTAGGTCCTTTGGAAATGGTGTTTGGAAGCTACCTCTCATGGTGATGACTGACCAAAATGGAATTGCTCTGCTCAAGCACTTAGACACAGACTAAAATAGGGACTTTTTACAGACTAAAATAGGCATTTATGTACACTAATTGTCTAGTCCTTAGGTGCTAGACCATATAACAAAAGAGAAATGTATGCAGAAGCGTTAGTCAAGAGGGGAAAGTATAAAGATGTCAAGTGAAAAGCCAGGAGTATCCAGAGAGAGTGGGGAACAAAAAAGGTAATTGCAGCTTTTTTCACTGTCTTGATTAGCTTATCAAGGTCAAAAAAACCCAGTAATGAATATACTGCTGTATGCTGCAAGTATGTCTATTAAATTCACTTAGCATATAATCTGGCTTTAAACAATTGATATCAGGCAGCCACATTAATTCAGTAAAAACTGTTTAAACTTTCCATTTTACTTTATTCTTTATAACCTAGTTATAGGCATCAAGAGTTAGCATAATTAATTCTAGCCTTATCAGAAGGGGTTTCAAGTCTCTTGTGAGTTCAAATCAGTCTCTAGCCACTGGAAATCCTCATGAGGAGCAGTAGGAAAAGGAGGCAACACATCTGCCCAAGTCAAAGGTTTTACAACCCCATGCACATCTCCCAGAGACAGGGTCATTACCTAAGTAGACACTGGGTCTAGTTCAGCTTGGCTGAACTTCAGCTCCAGTGTTCCTAATTCAACAAAGTTTACTGAAATGTCTGCCATGCTGTTATGCAAATGAAATATGGTAATTTAGTTAACCCTTTGTCAGCGGGTAAAGTGTGTTCCCAGATAGGAATACCAATACTTCAAAATATCCAGTCATTAAAATATAAAAAAAGATTTGCATAAAATAAAGACATAACATTCAGGCCAATTATATAAAATAATATATATATAAATATATTATTTAAGAAGAGCATGGAAGACTTGAAGGAGTTACTGCTTCTTGCTCTTGGCTGAAGCTTGTAGGCATATGAAGGTCTGGGGACTGTTCCCTTGAAGACTTCAGCTGTTGTATTATTTTAAAGACATTGAAAAGTGGTAGTTGGGATAGATAACAGTCTCCATGCTGGCTTGTGGGATGCTCTACCAGGTAGCCAGGAGACCCACCACACCGGCCTGGCTCCTAAGCATCCTCAGCTAAAGAAAATATACAAAGATAACTCAGCTGCCATTAGGATGAAGAAAAATTCAGTTCTGCTTAAACAGCGTAAAGTAAAGCATGGTTCCCTTTGTTCTTAGAAGACCTTGGTAGAGGAATCAGTCATTGATCCAACAATGAGACACAGCTTGTCAGCTGATGCTCTCAAAACAGCACACCTTGAGGTGAACTTTGGAGGGTTTTTTCTACAGACTTGCCTCAAACTGCCTGAGTTAAAATTTAGAGGAGAAAGAGTGGAAGAGCTCTCCTTGATGGGATGTCATAGATGCCATTCTCTGGCTGGCTGGGATCGGGTTAGTTGAAGTTCTCACTTCTGGAAAAGAAATTAAGCACTTTACCATCACTGTCATGGAGAGATTATCTCAGGTTTTTAGCATCATGCTCAGACTCATCCTATATTTTCCCTGGGACCAATGACACAACACTTTTTAGGGTCCAAGTTAGTTCTTTGCATATGTCCTGTTGCTTTAGTAGAATGCTCTTTAGTATTCATGCTCTAGTATGAATACTCATTAGTATTCATGCTCTAGTGTGCAAGGAGCATGAATAAAGTTCATACAGTGATTCCTAAAACACAAAGTGCTAATTACAGTTTGCTTCCCTTGGGAGAGAACTGAAGATGGCTGACCATGTAACCTCTCTTTTCTCTACCTCTTTTCCTGCAGTCCTCTGTGATGTCAGTCTGTTTTGCCCGCTTTCACCCAAACCTGGTTGTTGGAGGAACATACTCTGGCCAGATTGTCCTGTGGGATAACCGCAGTCACAGGCGCACTCCAGTTCAGAGAACCCCCCTGTCTGCTGCTGCTCACACGGTAAGGATAAAAATCACCTCCCTTTTCCTTAGAGGAGATGGTCAGCAGGGAAAGGCAGCTGCCATGTTGGGTCTACAGTGCTAGTTGCCACACAGATGAAAACGGAATTTTGGTCCTTGAAGGAAAAAAAGTAGATCTGAGACATGAACAACCACCTCCTGTAAGTGTTTGATCATCACACATTGTACAATCAAGTCAGGACATTATTCTTCTTTCCAAGGAGGAGGGCATGATTGAGTACAACACGTGAATGAGGCACCTATGTGCCAGCACACTGTCACTGCAGTTCTTGTCCCCATTGTCTCTAAAGAGAGCCAGACCACTGTGAAGGCTGTATGTCTCCCAGTCTGATGTGGCAGGCAATTCGAGTCATTATTGTTGTCTTGGTGTACACAAATTTCTCCTTTGAATCAGATAAGGCACCTATGAGGGTCTCAAAGAGGATTTCTGTAAGTAGACATTGGTGCCCTCAGAAAAAGTGGGGCAATTTGCTTCTGTTTTTTTGTATTTATGTATTTATGTATTGTCCTGTAGAGCAATACATAAATGCCTGCCATGGTCTTCTGCTCCAGACAGGGCCACAGGGCAGAGTTTGCACACTGAGGGAGAGTTTGTTTCAATGGAATGATGCAGGAGAGCATTTTGCTGACACACACAGGTACTTACAGATAATTATTGATGGTGGCAATGGGCTCTAGCGATGCCTGGGAGATGAATGGGCAGAACAGTAACACAAAATGCCTGAGAAAGAAAAGACTTTGTGTGTGATACAAGGATGATATCTGTGATAGGAGAGTCTCTTACACTGCAGAGTACTCATATTGTGCTGGAGGAGGAGACAAGCCTGGGTTGCCTGCTAAAGTGTCCTCACTCTGCTATGGCACTGACATCCAGCCATCCTGCACAAACACCTTGTGCATTCTCCTCCTCCCGAGTCTGGGCATGGGCAGCCTCTTCAGGAGACATGGAAGGCAGAGTAGCTCATGCTGGGGGCGAGCGTAGGGCAATTCCTGAGTGGACAGTAGAAAGGAGGAGAAAAATGCAAAAGTATGATATAAGGGTGCAGAAAACCACACATTTTCTGTAACATAGGGAACTGAACTCAACAAAGCGCTCTGAGAGATAAGATGATAATCTTGTTCTGGCAGATTGAAGGTTCGGACAAAGTGATAGTACTTTTGCAGCTCCAGCTTTTACAATTGTGTGATTCTAATGTTTGGAATTTGCAGATCAAGGTTCAGCTTTTAGTTGACTGTGACAGCATAATCCCTGGAGTTAAAAGACAGCTCCAGAAAGCCATGCCATGTGAATTACTGCTGAAGATTCAGTATGGGGCCAGTATTATGATTGCAAGTCTCTTATATTAAAAATTACAGGTGTGCACAGATATGCTTAGTGGGCCAGGCAATACAAATGTTGTTCCCTAAATTTCCACTATCATGAATGTTGATGTAATTATCTAATGATCTGTGCCATGGGTTGCAACTTCAACATTGCTTTTCATTTCCCTAATGTTTTTGCTCATTGTGTTGCCAGTAATGTTGTTCAATCTGCATGAAAAGAAACAGTCTCTCATGGAAGTGCAATTTAGAGATGTAGCAGACCAGAAAACTAGTGGCAAGAAGCTGACTGTCACTGCAAATTGAACAACTGGGACTCAAAATCTAGTGGAAAAGCAAAGATTAATGGGAAGTAATTTGTTTACACTCAAAAATCATTTAAGGCAAAATTGTACCTCCTGGAATTATATATTAAAACAGTTTTATTATTGCAGTAGAACAAAATGTAATGTTTTCCTTTTGAATAATATAAATAAATTACTTTCAGTCGTGGATGGGCACTTTATGTGCTGTCATGGATTGGTATAAATAAGTGTTTACACAGTCTAACATGAGGAGAAATATGATGTTTAAAGGAGTGCTCAGATTTTACAATAAGAGTTGCTTACTTTATATTTGTACATAGGAATTACTTACATAAATTGTAAATGAGGTCCTGGTTGCAAAACGCTGGCTTGAATCCTTGCTGCCAAGAAAAAAAATTAAATTAAGACAACACTACATTAGCAATGTTACTTTTTGTACTGCTAGATACGTGAGCTGAATAGTCTTTTTTTAATTTGAACTCATGCTGCATGTGAGAAAAGGATTTTTCTCTTTTCTTTCTCTTGCTTTGTTTATTTGAAACAGATAGATCGTGTTGTTTTCCCTGACTTAAACCTTCCTGAAATTTAGTATCACTGATTACTGCCTGGATTCACCAGGAAAGAGAATTCTACCCACAGCTTACTCACTAATTTCCTTTCACACCCACCACACATCTGCACTTGGGACAACAGGAAATTTTAATTAAGACAAAACCTTTTTGCATGATGATTTCATTTCCAAGATAAATAAAAGCAAGCTGGCAGCAACCCTTTGAAAGGAAGGAGCCTGTTAAGACTTTCTGTTACATACAGTTGGTTGTCTTTTTCATCTGCTTTCTTTACATCTTTTCATTTCTGCCATGAGTTTTATTGTGCATGAAATTGATGGCTGGTAGCCCTGATTAAAGCCAGGCCTGACACACTGAGGTGCTGCTGGAAAGACATGGCTCACTCTTTCTCCCCCACTAAATATTTTAGATATTCCACTACTTGCTGTGGCTTCCTCCCACCTATTCTGTCTGTTTGGTCTACTGGAGGTCAGAAGCACATGAAAAAAATTGGTCTGTATGTATTTCACACATCAGTATGCAGTAATCATGTTTAGCCCTGGGGTCATTAGCTTACACTAAGCAGAAAGAAGGTCCATGTTATGAGGGTAATAGTGTGACACACACGTGAGGGACCAGTTGGGGAGCATTTGATGATCAGGGAGAAATCAGGTGCCTGACAATCTTGAGAGAGAGAAAAAAATTGGCATCAAATGGACCTTGTGACTTACTGGTGTGTACAGGTTGCCTCCAAGCACAAGGTACTATTTCAGCAACTGCTTGGTCCATCTCATTGTGGGCACAAGCACTGTTTGTACAGGTGCTGCACCTTTTGCTCTTGGAGAGGGGACATTTACTGGGCCCACTCAGGTATCAGACCTGAGAGTGAGCCGGAGCTCTTGGGGATTTCTGCCATTCCCCACTGACTGAGCAGGTGACCTGCAGCTGGATCTTGACGTAAGTGGCAGTTCTGCCATTCCTTTCAGCAGGACCAAATGCTACATTCCTGACACTACATGGAGTTGCTTAGAAGCTCCCTAGGGATCTCTTGCAGGTTGGTCCCAATTTTCTTTAATTAAGCAAAGTATTAGAGAAAATTTGTTTTTTCTTTCTGGGGATGCAGGTCTTCTATTTATTGGTAAAGACTGCAGAAAAATTAAATCTTTATTTGCTTGACTTTTGTATATTTCTAACCCTTAATTTAGCAGTACCACTTGTACCCGTCAAAGGAAATTAAATCTTATTGTTCATTCTGACTGATTTTTCACTCTGGAGATTGCTGAAGTTGACCCATCTCTCATAAGTCACCATCAGATACCAGATGACATTTCAAGCTCAAAGTGTTACCAGGTTCCTTGGAAAAGGAATAGGCCACGTTTCATTATGCATACTAACTGGAATTCAGCCTCCATGGAATGACTGCACCATGGTGAACCAGGTGTAACACCCTGAATCTAGTCACTCTCCACTTATAGTGACAGATTTTAAAAGGTGTGTTGGCCAATGCTGAAGAACATTGATGGGCTTGCTCGTGTTCTTCAACTGGAGTACATTTGCAAATATTTAACATGCAAGCCAAATTCTGACAGAGTTCAAGTTTTATGCAGCTGTTTTCTTGAATAAAGTTTTCATTTTTATTCCGTTTGGACAGTTTTCCTCTTTCTGCTGGTTATTTTCAATGTCAAAAGCCATCAGTAGAATGATACATGTCCCTGTGGGTGAAATCTCATCCACATAATTCTGTATTTTCACAGCATTACTCAGCTGGGCTGTTTTATTATGAGGAAAATGAAACTTTGAAAACATTTCCACCTCCATAACATACTTCTTAAAATTTAAATGAAAAAGAAACACAAAAGCCCAACCAAAACAATTCCTATCTGGCAAAAGCTGAGTCTTATATTTTCCAGGCATTGTGTGACTACTTAATCATTTTTTAAAATAACATATGAGACATTAGAAATTTGTTTGTGAAAGTGTAAGAATGGCTCTCTGACTTGCAGTGTTCTGTGTTTTCAGCATCCTGTGTATTGTGTGAATGTAGTTGGAACACAGAATGCACACAATCTTATTACTGTCTCTACGGATGGCAAAATGTGCTCCTGGAGCCTGGACATGCTCTCAACTCCACAGGTGGGTTTGTTTGCACCAGTATGGGGGGGGAAATTGTCTTTGGTAGAGCAGGATACCTGCGTAGTGGAACATAGCTCCTAAAAGCCAAAATCTCGCATCCTATACAATCTAAAACCAATGGATGCACTTGAAAGAGTACAGCTTGCTTCCAGCAGTCTTTGCTAAGAGCCAAACCCCATTTCCTTTACCACAAATCATGTAATTATTGTAATACATTAATGCATAGGTCAGTTTCAAGTGAAAATGAAATAGTCCATTTTAAAGCATGGTAATTACAGAAGTCGCCTGTGGTATAAATTGCACTTATTCTACAGCATTGTTTAACAAATATGGACTAGATTGCACTGCTGCTGAACACACCCTAGGCACTGCAGGTTTCCAAGGCACAGTCAGAAACTCAGAAACTTATTTTGCTGGCAGCCTTCAGTAGCCAAAGGAACAAACAATGCAAATCAAAAGTTTTAGAACTAATTCTCCCCCACTGGAATGTTTGCTACTATTGTCTGTTCTCCCCCTCCTCTCCTTTGTATCAGAAATGAAAGGAAACACAGGAAAATTGCCCAAACCACTAGTGATTATAATAATGGAAACTAAACAAAGAATCCAATGCTGAAAAAGGTGTACAGAAAGCATCTTTTAAGTGTTATCTTCTGAAGAAGTACATTTTCTATTCCAACACATCACTCATTTTTATACACAATTTCTTAGAAAAAAAATTAATATAATTTTTACTAAGCATCATGGGATCTGATCTTATTTCAAAATGCTGCATAGAAACTCCCTATAATGATTCCACTAATCATGCACTAATGTGCAATTACTATTGAATTATTTGCTTTTCAGTGTTGACACAAGAGGTGGGACTCCTCTATTCTAACCTGAGCCATCTGAAAGTTGATGTGTCAGGTCTAAGTTAGAAATTCAAGTTTTCTGTACCACTGAGATAGAGAGAGGCTGGCACTTCTGGAGGGTGATTCATCCCACCCAAGTATGAAAAGCCATTTCAGATACCCACCCTGGGATGTGGAGCTGTCCTATCTTAGGGTGGAGGAGGATTCTGGAAGTCATCACATCTACTCCTCTACTCAAATTTCAACCCCATTGCTCATGTGAGGCAACAGTGTGCCCTGGGACTGTAAGAAACCAATACTCTTCTGCAGTAGAAAAGGAGGCTTCTAAAATTGCCCAGGCATCTATGTTCAGGCACCCTAATGCCTTCCACAGTTTCTCACCTAAACATCAAGAAGATAAATCCCACCCCTGCATATTCACTTAGTGGAATAATAAAGTCTAAGGCACAGAAATGTGAACATCTGAGCTCCAGGATCTCATCACTCAAATGGAATTTCCCTGCTCCAAATCTGGCTCTCAGCAAGGATGGGAACACACCCCACATTACACTGAAGTCTGGCACATGGTTCATGGTGATCTAGAAAAGAGAGGCACAGGGCTTGACATCAAGCTGCATGCCATAGCTTTAAACTGGGAGGAGTGAAGTGTTGCTGATGTATGTCAGTCTGAAACTTTCCAAAGACACAGCTCCAGAGCACTTGTGTACAGTCATGGTGTGGGCGCTGGGAGCAGAGTGTCCACCACAGCCTATGGCCGTGTCTCTGCAGAGACACTAAAGGATGATCTCACCCCAGAAGGTTTTAACAAACATATATGGTCTCTCTCCCATATTATGAGAATTTCTCTCTCTCACTCACATGTTTACAGAAATATGGGGTGGTCTCCCAATGCATTTTCCATGCCTTGTTTTGCCTTTATAATAGAACCAAATTTATTTCAAAGAAAAGCATAAACCAAGCAGAAGTATTTCTCTGTGGGTTTGCATCTCTCTCCTTTCACAGGGATACCCATTTTCTTTGAAGCAAAGAAGCCCTTTTGAGAAAAACCATACAGGCTTTGGCCCTAAAAGAACAGCAGCATAGACCTTTTAAACATAGAGAACATAACCACTTAAATAGCTAAAAATGAAAATGGTGAAATCATTCAGGCCTTTTGTGGATTCTTGGGTTACACCATTTAGGCTGAAAAACTAAAAAGTTGTGCAAAATCTGCTCAAAGCGTACACATCTTGCAACAGCCACAAACTTGCATGGTTATTTTATTTGCAATTGGAAAAATGGGCATGCTGATTTACTTTAAAATATAGCTACCAAATGAAAACAGAAAACATTCCTGCTGGTTTGTAGCTTGATGGTGGAGTCTAGAGGGAGTGTTTATGGTTACCTCAGAAAATCCCTGAAAAGCAATGCTTAGAATTGTTGTAGTGACAGGACTCCAAATTTTTAATTTTGTTCTGCAAAGGTACAAATGACACAGTGAAATAAATGCCTCACATGCACAAGATATTGCAAGTGCTTCCTGACAACTGATTTTCAGAATGTAAATAGAAGGGTATTGCGTGATTTATTAAAGCCTGAGGCTGGCAAATGTAACCATTAAGGTATTATCTTTAGTTTCTGCACCATTAGATTTTAAATTCTCACCTGTCATCTCTGGCTGATTTAAGATGATGCAGAAAAGACCAGTGCCTTCCTGCCAGTCTCATATGTGTGACAGACAGCACTGGGGATGGCAGGAGCATCCTGGTTTGTGACACTGCATCTTCTTACAACATCTTATGTAGAAACCAAATGTGACTGGGTCAAATGATTTCATCTTCCTCTCCTACTACTCCATGTATTATTTAGAAATCAGTTTAAAAAAAAAAAAAAACCCAACCCAGACTAAGAAAAGGAGGATCCCAGCATAATAACAAAAACCTGTTTTGATAGGAGAGCATGGAGCTGGTATACAACAAGTCCAAACCAGTGGCGGTCACAGGAATGGCTTTCCCAACTGGAGATGTCAATAACTTTGTCGTGGGCAGTGAAGAGGGAACGGTCTACACAGCCTGTCGTCATGGAAGGTAAAGTTCAGCATTTTGTACTTCTAAAACATTGTGTACCTGTGTTGATGAGAGACAGCCAAGTGTGTGTGGAGAGTGGTCAATGTTTTCCTTTCTTGGATCAACAATGTCTGATCAACAATGTTCCTGTGACCAGCACAGGAGCTCCCCAACTTTGAGCATCTTTCCTACAGCCTGTTATGCTGGGACAGTTACCCCAGGCTCTGTGTAGCTGGTGGGGAGCAATGATTAACCTTAGGTTGACTTCCTTTACCTTTTTCAGAAGAGGAGGTGGCTGGGCCCTCAGAAATACCTCTTTCTCATCAATGAGATGAGATGAGACGAAGGTTTACACAGCTGTGTACAGGTTTATACACCTAGCTGAGATGCAGGTGTCTATGTCTGCACAGGTCAAATGAGGCCTAGGAGACACTTCTGTTGCAGAGTAATCAGGCCTCAGCCAACATCAGATGGTTTATTTTATTTTGGTCTGTTTTATTTTTTACTATTCTCAGCTCCATCTTTGGTCTCCACAAGGATAAATCAGAGAAAAGCCACCATGGGCCTGATTCCTTTAATAACACCGATGCAGCCACAGTGTTCCACATGGGTTCTAGAGAATCCTGTGCTCTCTCAAACTGTGGTCACACATAATATAACCCAAGCTGTAGTTTGATACTGCAAGTTCCTTGTTTGGCACCCTACAAACCTGCAGGATGCTGGTGTGCTCTGTTAGCTTCCAGTAGTAGTTTTGTCTCTGGGAAACTTGAAATGCTTTTGTAAAGAACAAAATCTTGGTTTTCCATTGACAGATTTAGAGCTCATCCCCACCAGTAGTACACAATGTTCTCTGAATTCTTACTTTATCATATTCTGAGTTTATGTTGGCCAAAAAGACATTGATACAGTGGTTTAAGATTGTAAGGCTTCTATTATACACCCCCAATGTTTTATAAATACTGTTTTACATATGTTTTGTTCAATGGGGTTTTTTTAATTTTAGAATGTTTTTATTTTTGCCTGACTGCTGACAGTGTTGCAAAATTGTGTCTATTTAGACAAATACTGATAGGCTGTGTGGTGGCTCATGGTTTAAATGAGTCCTAGGATGCTAGGATGAATGGGCATTTCTCACTTCTGAACTTTCAGATTTGCCTGGTTTGTTCCTCACAAGAGGAGGAAGGTGCCAGATCCTCTTTTTAGCAAACCTTTTTAGAAACTTTCTACTGACCATTGACAAAAGCTCTTCTGCTCCTGCCTGTCTTTCCTGGAGCTTTTTGCTATCATCCCTGGTTTACTTCCAGAGGCTCCTGTGTCCTTCAGCCCAGCACAGTGAAGAGCCATGTGTCACTCTGGAAAAAGGTGTGTCAAAGCACAGCAGACACCCAGGGTGGTGTCAGTGCTCCAGGACTCTCCTTATCCACTGACTACAGTGGCAGATAGCTGGGATAAAATAAGAGGTGTCCTTTGTACCCAGCAGGATACTGCAGGACTCAGCCCCTGCTCCAGCACATGCTGCAAGGTCTGGCAGGGGAACATCAGTGAGGTCACCCTGTCCACACAGGAGAGGTGAGGGGACACTGCACCAGCTGGATGAGGGACCAGTATTCTCCTTTCAGTACACTGTACTAACACTAGCACAGGGCAATTTTTCTATAATCTAGCTAAAAGGGTGATTTCATTATTCCCTTTTCTGTATACACCGTCAGACAGCACTGACAACTGATCTGGCATCGTTTGCTTCCAGGAAGAAGAAAACTGCGCACATTGTCTCTTACACAGTGTTGTACTTTTCCTTCCTAATAGCTATTCCAGCCTCTGGCTGATGAAATGCACATCTCCCCTTGTTCAAAGTAATGACTGTATGATACCTGATCACAGGATCAATTACTTCACTTTTTGTGAAAAAGCATTTGCTTCCTAGTGACTTGATTGATTGCTATGAAAAGTTATCTTAGATATTTAAGAGAAAAAGAATTGCCCATGATAAGTCATTAACATATCTGCATTTTTATTTTAATGGTTATTCCTTCTGATAATGGCTTACTCAGAGGCATAAGCTATGGTGTAATTACAATTTTGAATTTTATAATTATACAGAAATGTTATTTCAGTCTACAAGAGTAGACAGTGTATGTAGAAGTGAGTAAGGTAAGTCTTCAGAAGTAAGAGAAATTCTCCCTGTGCTCAATTCTGAGCATTAATTTTCCCCACTGGAGTAAACCTCTGCAGGCAAAGTCCTTAGCAGAAGGAGAAAGATTTGCAGGTCAAATAGAACTTTAAAAGGAAACAGGACCCTAACAGTAAAGAAAAGTTATGTTAAAACACTAGGTGGTGAATCACTCTCTGCATGTAAATCCTTCTTCTCCCTGCAGTAAAGCTGGCATTGGTGAAATTTTTGAAGGCCACCAAGGACCTGTCACAGGAATCAATTGTCACATGGCAGTGGGTCCAATAGACTTTTCCCATCTTTTTGTCACATCATCATTTGACTGGACAGTGAAACTGTGGACCACAAAGGTAAGCAATCCAAGTTGGGCTGGGACAATTAATTCTACTTAAATGAAAATGCTGTTGTCAGAAATATTTTAATACTGTCTATCAAGTCCTAAGAACCAATAAATTGAAAAGCTGTAGTTAGAATGAGCATAGTGATAGAATTGTAAGTAAAATATACAGCTAGTGTAATAACCCTCAATCATATTTGCCCTGGAGCATACCTTCCCCTTTAGCAGGCCTTCATTTCAGTGTTAACCCTAGTGTTGAGCAGTTTCACAAGGCAAGGAGATGAGAACTTCTTGAACTCCAAGCCATCAAACAATCCATTCAGCACTCCCTGTGCAGGCTAAATTGCAAGGCTAATGCTATGCACTGTGGTGATGCAGGAGCAGGAACACTTTCCTCTGATGAAGCAACAGGGGAAGTGCACATACAAGTTAGTGCCATCAATATCACTTGTGAAATTCACTGCTGGAGGAGGCTGTGATAGCCAAAAGGTATAAAATATCCCAATGACATTAGACACTGGAAGCAGGGAGGAAGTACATGCTGGAACTTACATTCATGACCACCAGGGATCTACTGCTGACTACTCTGTGGCCATCTGTCCGTGACCTGTTTCAGAGAGAGAGCAGAACAGCAGAAATGGCACAGTCCTGTGAAACTTTGAAACCCCAACACTCCATGGGACAGACTAAAGAGACCAACCTGATGGATCGTACAGGACAATGAGATGTAAAATCCTAATTTCATAAGTAATCTAAATTTATTTTTTTTATACACCAGAGTAGAGAACTGCCTTCCAAATGTCAGGTTCTTGCCTTAACCAAGTTGGTTTTATGCCTGCATTTTTTTCACATCTTGAGCTGCACCCGGCAGAGTTCCTGTACTGGAAGCTGACCACAGTCAGGAAGTATCTCAGCATGTGTTCCTCCAAGACATCAGGGCTTGGAGATGCTAGAACAGATGCACAGCAAATGTAAATATGAAAGTGATCATAAGGGCTCATGTGACAGCCTTGTGCTGGAAAAAGAAGCCGTTACCTAGACAGTAACTTGAATCAGCTTCCATAGTAGCTTCCAATGCTTTTGTTAATGGCATGATCCAATGTGTGTGCTAATTAACAGGGAGCTTTTCCTAATCAGCAATGACCACAGCTGTTGGTTTTGTCTTGAGCATTACACTTCAGGAAACTCATCATGAGAAAGGTGCATGATTTACCCAATTCTCATGTAACTATGTACATCACCAGACCCAGCCTGAACAAATGCAGAAGTAATCCAGAGGAGTGGACATGGGCAGGCTGGAATGGGTCTGGGATGGTTCCTAGGCAGTAAACATTAGAAAAGGCTGCAGGACAGCCGAGGCATGGACAGCTTAAATGTTGGCTCACCGGGGCTAGATAGGCTGTTTAGTGTGTGAGACAAGGGAGGCCTGGGCAGTGGTGACTTCCCTTGGGAGCAAGGGAATACTGGAGTGTTGAAGCTGAAGCTAAGGGGAGAAGAATTTGTGGGGAGTCAGGGAAGATGAAAGGCAAGTATTGAATTCCAATCACACATGCACAGAAAAGTCTTGGGTTGGTATTTAGCTGTCAGCTTGAGGCTGAATATGGCAATAAGGGTCTCATTCATCTGCAGCTTAAATGAAAGTGCATTAAGGGATAATAAAGCCTGATTTTTATTTTAAACTCTTGGGATTTTAGAAGTTAGTAGTAACACTAACACAGCACATTTTGGGCACAAAGACACTGCAGATAGTAACACACAGTTATCCTTGTGGAATATTTCAGTGAGACCAGCCAGAATGGTTGGGTCTGATTTTGTTCAAGACAATCAGTTTTCAAAGAACCAAACCATTTAAATTTCTGATATCCATCAAGCTGTGGCTTGTCTGGCAAGAGAGGCTTCCTGAAAAAGCTGTTTGACTGAGCTGGGCAAGCTGTGATGTGCATGTGACACACCACGGCACCACTCAGACCTGGAAGCTGCACTGTTGTTTTGGATCACTCACTTTCTTCTGGAGCAGGTTTAAGCAGCAGCAGCAGCCCCAGGCTGCTGCCCTGCCAGCCACTGCCCTGTGAAAACATCCTCTGAGACACTAGACAAGTTCTTGAATTGTGATGAATGTTTTCTTTTTCTCCCCATTCAACTACATCAGAAGTTTATTTCCATATTGTCTGAATAATTTTCTTGGCTGGAGCTACTACATATTTAAGGCTCTCTTTGTTCAGTTCTCAGAGTCAAGGCTCAGTCAATCAGTGGGCTCTGAAAAAAAAATAGTGGATTCATATAAAGTATTAAGTGCTTTTGCTAGCTAACAAGATTTTGTCGGAATTGGTTTATTCCTTTAGTTTCTTATTTGTAAATTAAATCTCCCTATCAGCATCCAAAGTCATATTGCTTTCCTGCTTCTACCAGCGTTGTCTACTTAATCCTGTGCACATTATCCTCTTTGGTCATGAAATTCAATTCCTTTCTGTTTCACAGGTTCAATGTCCAATTGTAAAGTGAACCATAAAAGCTTTGTGTTTATATTGTCTATTGATGTTGTGTAGCATCCTGGGGTGCTTACAAGAAAGGCACTTTCATAGCAGGCATTTGACTGATGGATTGAAAGCACCATCTCCCTTAAAAACTCTCACTTTACATTTTATAATGTTTTTGTGGTTAACACATTTTCTAGCTAAAGGCAGTTCAACCAGGTGACTGAGAATAAGATTTTCACTAGCGGATGAATGAGCGTTTTGTAGATAGAGCTAACACAAGGTTCATATAATCACCCATCGCATCAGCCAAAAATTAGATCCCTGTGTGAATAGCAAGCAACCAGAAGCAACAGGAAAAGAAACAGAATTTGCAAAGATAGTTGCTTGATAACCACAGCATTACCTGGTTCCTGAAGAAGTTAAAAGGGCTTTACCTTGAATTCATGCTGCACCATGTGAGCAAGTCTGGGATGCAGAGCTGTCAAAGGGAAGTCCCGATGTGAAGTGTCTGTGGAGCTCTGCCCTTAATTAGGTAGTGTCTGTACGATGCTTTGAAGAGGTAAAGTGCTAAGTGGAAATGCTAAGTGTTGTTAATTAATTAAACACTAATCCTCATGAATGAATAGCATGAGGTTAAATAATGAAATGTAAGTATTGTTATTATTACAGCAATTGCTGTTTGGAGAGCAAATTTTTTTGATATTGTGTCAAGAGATGGAAGCTGTCTTGGAATTGCTAAAACATAGCAAAACATAAGCTGGTTTCAGCTAAAGCCTTGAGGACAGAGAGCTGGATTTTGTTAGCTTTTTCATCCTTCACATGCCTTCTTTAGCTTTTATCCTTCCACTGAGGGGAGGTGCAAATGACTCATTTGCTCCTCTTGCACCCATGCCTAAGCCTGCCTCACCAATCAGATGGGCAGAGATTGGTGTACCTGGAACAACATTGCTGTATCCCCATCCACGCGTGTCTCCCTCTGCCTAATGTTTAAGTAATGGTGTCAATGCCAATATCAGAAGGAGGCTCAGAGGTGCGCAGACTGGTAGTAGGGCCACCACATCACCATTATCAGGGTCCAATGGGGCCAGGGGTCATGTGTGCCCTGAGTGACAGACTACCCATTTTGTGTCAATGCTCACTTTTGCTTTACCAGCACGTGCATCAATGGTAGTGCCTTCCTTGTGACTCTCCTTTGTCTTTTTTTTCTTATGCCCTTCACATACTGCTTTTCTCTTCTGGTATGCTCTGCTGTTCCAGTTTGTTGAGCTTTTTTGAGAAACCACATTTTAAACAGCAAACATTCCCATTTCTATGCTATGTGCCTTCACATACATCTCTGTACCTTGAATATCTTATGTCCATGTGCTTGTTGACTACCTGGGTATGACCCAGTCGTTCTGCCTCTTGGAGCAAATTACTTTACCTGTCATACCTTCCTACCAGCATGTAACTTCAGACTCCACTGGTTTTCATTTGGCCTAGAGTGTAACTCCATCTCCTCCAAGGTCCAGCTGAAGCCTACCTTTAGAAAAATGCAAAGAAGCATGTGGTGGTGGTGATGGTGTTGTTATAGACAGGTACCTCTGCCCTTCCCCAGAAGCCTTGCTCATAGGATCTGGTCAGATCCACTTAATAGACCAAATTTACTGTGATGGAAAAGGTATTGCAGAATGAAGCAGAGCACTACTTGATGGTCACATTTGGCCCCTATCTTCTCATATTATCATGCAAGGCATTTTAGATGACTCTTCATATGAAGTTGGATCCTCCTGGATCTTTTATTATGTAGAGCTTTCACACTTTGGTTTCTTATGCAGCCACTGGAAAGAAGTAACTGTACAGCATATATTATAGACACCTCTTGGAGAGACCACCATTCCTGCCCACCACTGTCTGTGCTGGAGCCCAAGTCTGGCAGATGATCAGTTGCTGTAGCTTTTGGTGGCTTTCTTGTATCTGGGCAGCCTCAGGCCATATCTACACTGGCAGACGTGTCAGCACTTCTGAGCTCCCAAGTCTGTCTTCTTATGCTGTTTTTTCCCAAACCACTACCAGGAAGGAATCAGCCTCTTTATCCCATACCACATGCACATATACATGTGCACCTTGATTTGCAGCCAGAATCCTGTGGATTCCTTTACTACTCCTCCCTCTGACTGATTTTGGTGGGGCTCAAATGTCTATCTCAAGGGACAATTTCACTCCTCTTACTTTGGATTCCTGACTAGAATGGTCTCCCTCACTGATGCATTACCACACAAAGCTCCTTCTTTTCTCTTTGATAAAAGCAATTAAAATTAATAATTTGATTAATCAGTGTCCAAATGTTAATTTAATCTGATTATAGGGCATGACAAAGGGTGATAAAATAGCATGCTAGGATTTCATGGAAATGGTCTCTCTGTGGTGTGAGTTTAGAGTTTTGAGTTTGATCCAAAAACAAGGCAATGAATGAATTTGCTTCAGAGCACACTTTCTGTCAGAAGGCCAAGCTGACTTGGGGAAGAGGGTGGAGTTGCCTGTTCAGACAGGATTT